ATAAATAATTATGATTATTGTATATCGCCAAAATTTGGGTTAATTTAGTAAAAGTTAGTCAAAAATAAATCGACTTGATGGTTAAAAGCCACAAAAAATAATAAAAAGCTTAATGGGGCCGCCTTGCCCCACCCTCTCCTACTCCAGTCTGAGCAGTTGTGCAGGTGCGTTACGTATAGTGACATAATGAAAAACGATCCTTATATCTAAGCCATATTGTTACCATTTTTAGGTATGTTCCTATTTTAATGAATTCATCTGTTTAAAGTAGGAAGGTTCGGAAATGCATTCCTACAAATTAGATTAAAATTCTATTTTGTAAGGGCTTTTGCAACATGGACCTTAGTCGTCGAATAGGTTTATACTTTAATTAATAATAAGACAAAATTCCATTTGAGTTTACAGCATTCCATGCATATGCGGCAAACAATACATAGGAGAGACCATACGAAAAATATCAACTAGGCTTAAAGAATACGAAAGAGCCGTACGACTAACACAAATAAACTCATCAGCTGTTGCCGAACACACTCATGAAACCGGACATAAAATTTTATTCCATAAAACTAGACTCTTCTACCAACGAAAAGTTTGAGAGTCTATAGAAATCTATAACCAACCTAACAATCTTAACCGCGATTCAGGTCTCTACCTGGCACCAATTTGGGAATCAGTCATCCGAGACGGTGTTTATACCTCTCTTTAGCGCCCCCCTCAAACAATATATAAGCAGATACAGAGTAAAATACGAGCCAGTTTCAGTCAAGCTCTGAAGAAGCCAACAGGATGATTGGCGAAACGTCAGCGATTTCGACTCAGCAAAAACCGACGCAGGAGGAATCCAGAAGTTTTGTAAGAAGTGGATAGGTTTATTTTTGAAAAGCTCCCAATGCTTGAAAACAAAAACAACGAAAACCTATAACGCAAAGATCAAAGAAGGGGAACGAAAGTACTTATCATTGGAAACCTGAAACAAAGTGTTATGCATACTCCATCAGAAGCATTATTATTCTTTTACCTGAGCAAGTACTGTATGGGCAAGTATGGGATTGCGTTAAATTGACAATGAGGACGATTATATTTTGAATAAATTTTATATTTAAAGCTTATCAACTATCTATGCAGTTTTTCTGGCAAGCGCTGCCTCACTAACATCCGTGGCTGGTCTTTCATTAAACTTGGCTGAAATGGAATATTCCTTTTTTGTAGCCACTCGACGAGACACTAACTTGATCCAACTTTGATTAGGTATTGACTCAACAGTGAGTTTCCGTGGGTACACAACTAAAATTTTTATCTCTGTTCTATAAAAAGGAAATATAAATCACCTTTCAAAATTTGCAGTTTTCATTGGATCACGGTAGTTCTCTGATTTACAATCCGATTTAGACATGAGACGGGCATACCCTACAAAGCCATTTTCCTTCTTTCACCATATTTTTTCCGAACTGTTTACAGAGAATCGTCTTGGCAGCTTTTTCTAGACGCTGCTTACCGTTGTGGTTTTTGATGTATTATCTAAAAAATGTCGGTCGTTTATCAGCAATGCATGGTTGTTCGATCAGATATTTTCGGTTTGATATACCGCATTTTTCGAAACAAAATTTTAACCCTTTTAATCCATCAGTTTATGAAGCATCTAAAATAACAATAGCATCGATTTTGTGGAAAAGTAATTATTAAAATGAATGGATTTTTGTTCTATTCAAAAGCCACGAAAAAGTTATGGACATTTTCGACTTTGCGCACAAAGAAGTAGTACCAGAAATTATATTATTCATTTAGAACAAGGGAAAGTAAATTCGTGTTTTCTATGCTTTATGCTCGCGTGTTTCCATTTTCAATTAGGGACAACTGCAGTAAAAAAGTTGGATTCTCTAATTTCTTCTCAATTGATGTGCAGCACATCTGAACCAATAATTCTTGGAATCTTGTGCCTGTCTGCTTGTCTCCAAACCATTAAAGTCTAGGCCTCAACGCCTTCAAATAGTTTAATTTGTAAATATTACAATGGTTAAGATAAACCTGCAGAAGCATCTAATATAATAATTGCTCCATCTAGTACATTCAAGGTTTATTAAACTTGCATGGTAAAATCTATATGGCCTGGGGTATCTATAATAGTAACCTGATTGTTTTCCCAATAGAATGTTACCACGAATAATATATAATAATATATATAATATAATGGGTGTTCCGTGTGCTGGTCTAAACTGATTGGTTTGGATGCCTCCAGAAGCAAGCTTATGCACCGATTTTGGAGGAATGTCTAATGCATCGGCAACGCGCTACAATGAACATTATAGGTACCTACCTAATTAATAATTTTCAGAAAGTTCAATTGCTCGTTCATAAAAATGAGATAGTTCCAAGTATGGAGTCTAAAATACTTAGATTGCGTACTGCCCTTAAGGGTAAACGCGGTTTCCCCGCATTTCTTTCTACCTTCTTAAAATGTTCTTTTCGCCAAATCGTTGATGATGTTTTGAGACGTTTAATTATACGCAAAATATAAAAATTTTAATTTTGACCCGGATTTCAAAACTGACAAACAAAATTCATGTGTCAATTTACGACATCCAGTAATGAACTAGATTAAGATGTCATGCTATGACGTAACTGTACAATTGCAACTTTGTAACTGGATTATGCAAAAATGTCATTTTTATGGTGTGTTTCAAAGTATATCTTTTTGGCTTTTAACCCACCCTCCCCTAGCAATAACTACGACCTTCATACCCGTTGTTCATCATCTAATGACTTCAGAGACAGTATTGAATTACCTCATTTGTCATTAGATGCAAAACAAATTGTGAAAAATGTGCACAAGTAGGTTACCTTCAATCTCACGGTCTCTATTAACGTTTTATTATTGTGTCACGGGTGTCAATCCGTCCAAATGATATATATTGCGCTGTTCCAAGCGAAATTGATAAATTTGAGTTAAATATATAATTCCGACTTTGTGCAGAATTCGACCATTTTCTTTTAATTTATGTTGCAATGATTCAAATGACGGAATCTAATGATTCTCATACATCCCATACACTTTCCTTGCGAATCCACTCTCGTCACCATCCCTGACCACTTTCATTTTGCCTTTGGCACATTGTTCCTTTCTAATGAATCATTATCGAATCGATCGACGCAAAGTTGATCTTGCAATATCAGTTAACTGTCCTCTCCATGGCAACTTCAATGTCCAATTTGGCATTACATAATATAAATTGTTAGCGAACTTTTCTGTTTGTTTTATTGAAGTTTCGGGAATGTCATAGTAAGCGTTATCAGTTTTTATGGAATTAAAAACGTAGAAAGATAAAAATGTAATTATTACATAAATTTAAGCTTCTTATGCTCTTAAAGCAGCACATATTTAAATGACACTTTCTTTTTGGTTGGTTGCTTTCCTCCATTCTGTCGTCGAAATGTTCTACAATCCAGAGTCTAATAACTGTAACACCATTAATGATAAAGTGCAAAAATATCATATATCGACACTACTAAAATAAAAATATCTCGCTGTACTAATAAACGCTTGTAAATTGGATTTTTATTAGTTTGTCGCTTGGTTTATGATTTATGATAAGCCAAGCAAGTCACGGCCATTTATCGTGTGCTGAGCTCTATCAAAACACAAGCGCCTCGAATATGAGGGAGATCATGTTCGCATCGAAAAGTTCAAAAAGAAAAAAAATTAAATGGAGCAAAACAGAAAACTTCTAAATTATCTAAATAGTTTTATTATCCAGACAAGTTTAGCAATTACATACCAGATGTGGTTGGTTGTTGTTAAACACATTAGTACATAAAACTGTAATTTCGCGAACATCGAACTCTTTAACAAGCGTCTCTTAAAAAATTAGGTTTTTCGACATATTATATATATATATTCCCTGTATCAGATTCTTCCTACTTTGGTTATACCAAAACGGAATCTAGAAGATGAAACCAAAATAATTATTACCCGTGCTGTACCGTGAATTTTTATTTTATTTATTTATTTAAAAGACTTGAAAAATAAATAATTGCTATTCCAGATCCGATTTTGTGTATTAAATTTAATGTCAGACAGAATATCAGGCGCGTCCACCAAATTATCGATTATTTTAAACAGAAATACCACGGCTGTCCGCTCCCGACGAGCTGCAGGCTGCAGTTGAATAATTGAATCGTCTAAATGCAAAAGAAAAGTCTAATGATTTCGTTTGATTTGTTTCCGATACCACATAGTGTACATGCGAGGAGAACTTTATCTTTTTCATTCACTACTACTCGCCGTTTTCTTTTGAAAGCAAAATATTGCGGTTTAATTTATCGAAATCCTTAGAGAAAACGGAGTCCACCTGAACCATTACGTAACATATAAAGATTCAGCTGACCGGTGGTGTACAATACTATAAATAGTCTTTCCCAATGTCTTTGAAAGAGGTCGGTAGTTCGGAATCATTTGTGGATGGAAACAACTTGAGCTATCCAGCTTTCCACCTTACAGTAAATTCACATCCGTTAAGCGATCTCTTAAAAATAATTGTTAAGGATACAGTAAAGCTAGCGGCACTTGTTTTTATGAAGAAATAGCAAACGAACTAGTACTAGTAATTTATGTAACGTCTCTATTTATATCTGTCGATTATTTAGATTTGCGCGTTTCGGCTTCTCTTTCCGACTGACTGCTAGCGAGCATGGCGCTCCACTTTTTATAATGAGCGAGAGTCATAAAACATTGTTTTTACGGAAAGGATTTTTTTTATTGGCAGTATTTGTTCAATGAAGTAAATACCTATATATGTTGTTTTTAATAACTGCTGTTAAGATTACGCCCTGAACCGTCGTTCTAATAATATTAATCTGCTTCTCTAGATTAGTGCGTGTATTAACGCTGTCGTTTCGTTTGTTTATTAACCGTAATCTATCGTTATAACATTGGTAATGTTATTTTCCTATCGTTAGTTGTATAACAGAATTAACTTTGAACCCTATCGTGTTGTTTTTCACAGAACGGCGCCTTTCTCGGTTGGGTTCGACAAGTTCGTAAACGCTGATGGTCAAAATAATTACGTATGTATTTCGTTTAGAAAAAGCAATAAGTTGGTGTCGGCACTCGCTTCAGCTTCATTCCAGCAGTCTTCAACACTATAACGCTTGCTATTCATGTTACATTTATTTTGCTGTTCCTAATATTATCTTATTGTGTTGCAGACTTGGTTAATCAAGCTCGATTTACCGCCCGAATTTAAAACAATAATTCGTTAATTTTGTCTGCTTCGATTTAGTTACGAGTTAATTGGGTATTACTCTTTATGAAGGATTCTTTTCAGTTAAAAAAAAAGTTTGGACCGCCAGGGGCTTTGTTAGGAGGTTAGACTGTGCCAAATTTTTCGAATATTTATTTTTTCTCGGTCCCATATCAAAATTTCGTTGATAATCGTGAAAGAATAAATGAAGTCAAAACTACAGCCCATTATCTCAATTTTCGAGTTAGCGCTCGTAAAAATCAGAATTTTTCAAAACAATTTTTTTTTGCTTATTCTTTGTTTACAATTAATTTAACTCATTAAATAAAAAAATAACCTTGGATATGGTTTATAGAGAATTAAATGCTCTATAAGAATTTTCTCTGGCCATATCAACACCGTTTCTTCTACAGCTAATCAAAGTTCAATTATCTTTAAGATTTTTGTTTTCATTTTTTTATTAACACTTACTAAAAACTTTTAGAAGATAACTCCAAAAAATAATTGAATTAAAAAAACGAATTCATTTATAGTTTTCTTTTTTTTATTAGCTTCAAAATTTATTGTTTCCACAGTCAATAATCTAAACTTGCCAAAGTTGAAATTTCAAACCTATCACAACTTTATATTTTTACATTAAAGGTTGGTATAATGCTTCGTATCAGAATTCCATGTTTTTGAATAGTTTGATAGATTTTAAACACGTAGACGTAAAATTTTCTAATGCTGCATCGACAAAATTTCTTCGTCATCTCTGGTATTTATCCGAAGATCTTCTGGCATTATCATTTTTCGATGAAAGAATCCCATCAGCCATTGTGATAAAAATGGTTCAAGCAAAAAAAAATCAAGACAGCACGACCGAAAATACGAGAAAGCTGTGTTTAAAGTAAGAATATTTAGAATTATTCAGGTCGAAAGATATAAGTGTCAAGTCAATGATTTTATTTGAGAAATTCGGTTTGTCTACAAGTTTTCTTGATTTACCTGTAGCTCTATGGGAATTTGATGACAATTATCAGGCTTCTTTAGAAATTGTTCTATCAATTAAGGTTGTAAATGACACAACCGAAAGAGCTGTAGCATTGATTGATAAATATAATGATAGTCTCATTTATAATGAAGACAGTTTTTGTTACAAGTTGTAACTGATCATCGCAAAAAATATCCTAACTGTAGTGAACAACATTTGTGAGCATAATTTTCTTTTCCTTAATTTTAACATAATTAATGTGATGATCGTATCACTTTTGACTAACTATAAGTTGACTAACAATAGGCATATTATAATTACATCAATGTTTTTTTTTAATGCAAACTCTCGAAAACAAGTATAAAATTGAAATAAAAATTTTCACCTCCAAAAGCTATTTATGTCTATCACAATACCAATGATTATTTATACATTCATGGAATTGTAGAACTTATACCATGAACATTGATTTTATCAAGTTTTTCATAAAAAATGACGTTCAATGCCAAAAAAGGAGGAATAAAACTAGAAAATATTAATAGCGTAGTACTATTTATATTTATTAATGCATGAAAACTATTTATTTATTTTGTTCGTTAGTTTTTTGCTTTAAAAACTTTTTAGTAAGTGTTAATAGAAAAATGAAAACAAAAATCTTAAAGAAAATTGAACTTTGTTAAGCTGTAGAAGAAAAGGTGTTGATTTTTTGAATATAGAGAATTATATTCTCCACAAAACCATGTCCAGGGTTATTTTTCATTTAATGTGTTTGATTAATTATAAACAAAAAATAAGCGAAAAAAAAAATTTTTTTTTTAATTCTTATTTTTGTGAGCGCTAACTCTGGAATTCACCTCCACTCTCCATCGCTCTGAAGAAGGTAGCAGTATGTTTGGCGAAACGTTAGCGATATAGAATGAGTATCCGATCCAGATGAAAATCTAGAAAAAGTATACAAAGGTTATACCTTATCTCTACCTTATCTCAGAACTTGTAAAAAGAGTTGCTTGCAATCATGAGAACTTCCAAAATATTAGATATAGGGGTTTGTATTTCGTGGACAAATAACTTTCTTATTATACACCTAAATTTCTTATATATTTTGAATTTTGTGTCAAAGATGACGTTTTGCTAGTATGAAGTATATCTATCTACTTGAAATCTGTATTACATATTGGTTTGCTTAGAAAAAAATGGTTATGTAATTTTTATAATTTTACCGTATGTGGCATTAAAATGAATGTGACTTTGTATAAGATTTTTTATTTGAGAAAGTTGTACACGTGAAAATGTTAGCGGAACACGTGCTTCCTTTGTAAAAATGCTATGCGGCTAAAATTTTGCAAAAAGCATTACGGTAATAAATGGCAGGCGCCTAATATTTATTGTCGTTTGACATTTTTTTTTTTAATAAATATTATAAATATTATAAATTTGGTAGAAAGACAAAAACAGTGTTTAACAGATAACAGATTTATTTTTTGATAAACTCTTAAAGGCAAATTACAATTAAAAACAAATATTAAAAAAAGTTGGTAAATAACTTTGGTACCAACAAAAATTTATCGAAATAGTAATAAAATAACTATAATAATAGAATAACAATAGGAATTAAAAATGAGTTATATGGAAGGTGCCGACTTTTGGTTTACAAACTGACAGAAAGTCAAAAAAGTGAGGTCCCTGTAGTGCTATACTGTTTTTTTTTTCACCACGTTTCGCCGTCACCCTCATAGCTTAGCAAATATTTTAAAATGTAGAACTTTTGGAGATTTTTTTTCCCTAAATTACTGCCATTATCTTATAATGCTAAATCCGACAATTATAAGAAGCCTTATTTGAATTTTTAATGTTTTTGCCAACAGTGTAGACCACTAAAATACATCTTGTTCCACTCACAAATGCGTTTCAGTCGGAGAAACCGATAGATAAAGTCAAAAACGTTAGAACTAGTATTCCTTAATGTACAGGGTGTTAAAATGAGAAAGTTTACAACGAACATGCAAACAGCCTGTATAACGCTTAGAAGATATAAGTGAATCTACACTACTACTACACAAATGAGTAAATTAGCTTAACAGTTTTGATTGATACCGGATTAAATTTAAAATTGGGCGCAATTCGAATTGCCACCCATTGATTAACCAAGTTTGCAACGTCCTGTACGGTTAATTGGTGGAAGCACCTTAGGTAATGCGGGGACGTTTATGGTTTTCTACTTTTGCTTTGTATTAGTTGAATTCGAATAGTCAAAAATGAAAATCTCGTCTTGAAACAATACGAGAACGATGGACGAGGGTAAAATTGAAATTAGTAATACTTGGACGAAAAACGACGTCTTTTGTAGAACAATTAAAACGAAAACAGTCTTTGGCAAGGGCGTCTATTGTTTTTACGTTCGAAAGTTTGGAAAGTTTTTAATTAAAAGGCCCGGCCCAGTATTTTATTAAACCGTACCTACTCTTGTCAGTTTTTAACTTTTTTAATTAGGTTTAGTGCCTAATGAGGGCTTTTATGTGTTTTCTTTTCATCGGGATGGTTTACATCGCGCCGGTATTCATTTCCTGCGGTTCCGCAGTTTTCAATCGACAAATTCCGCGAGTTTTTTTTTGCTGCTTTTGCGCCGTAATCTTCAATTTGTTGATGCTTATTTTTTATTTTTTCCAGCTTATTATTGCATTTTTCCTTTGTCAATGGCTCCGTCACGTTAAACAATATCAAAATAATGCGTACGTTTTGCACAACCCAAACGAAATTTCGCACATTTTTAAAATAAAATATAACAAAAGAGAGCTTTCTCCTCTCTCACATTATAAGTGGTGTTTTTTTTCGATGTATAGAACTTTAAGTTGCAATAAAACAACGATGGATTATTCGATTGACATGAATTTTATTTATCCGAAAGATAATCTTGTGGCATTACATTTTAAATGTGATTTCTGGCATATGACCGCCACGGCTGGCGCGGATGTAATCTAACCTGGACGTCCAATTTTCGTCGTATATCGGCGAATGTTGTCTTCCAAATGGTCAAGCATTTGTGGCTTATCCGCATAGACCAATCACTTTACATGGCCCCACAGAAAGTAGTCTATAGGTGTTAAATCACAAGATCTTGCAGGCCAATTCACAAGTCTGAAACGTGAAATTAGGGGGTCAACAAACGTGTCTTTCAATCGATTGTGGCACGAGCTGTATGACATGTAGCGCCGTCTTGTTGAAACCACATCTCCTGGACATCATGGTTAGTCAATTCAGGAATGAAAGAAGCTCTATACCGATCACCATTGACTGTAACATTGTGGCCATCATCGTTTTTGAAGATGTACTTACCAATGATTCCACCAGTCCATAAAGCGCACCAAACAGTCAGTTTTTCGGGATGTAACTTTGTTTCGACATACACTTGAGGATTAGCTTCGCTCCAAATGCGGCAGTTTTGTTTGTTGACGTACCCATTCAACCAGAAGTGCGCTTCATCGCTAAACTAAATTCGCAATTCATGATGAATTGCCAAACCAAACTGAGAATAAATCACTTGACAACTGTTAAATCGGTCGCCATCTTGAACAGTAATGCCAACTTAAAGTTCTATACATCGAAAAAATACACCCTTTATTCTCTGATTATTGCACATCTAATATGAAATTGTAAACACTTTCCTTCGGCAACTTATGGCCTCCCCAAAACTTCAAAATTTTTCTCCGAATTTTGCGCAATTTTGATCAACCATTATTGAATTTTGCGCACTGCGCAGGGAAAGTGATGTCCTCAAATTTCAAAATTTTCCTCCGGCCTCAACCCAATTACAACTTTTTTGCGCAACCATTTTGAATTGAAATTGAATTTTGCGCGTTTTTATGCCCTTCCTAAATTTCAAAAATTTTCTACCACGTCAATTGAACTAAAACTATCAGAATTTCTGAATTTTGTGAAATTTTGCGCAACCATTATTAAATTTTGCGCACTTTCCTGGGGAAAGTTGGGCCTTTAATAATTTTCTAAATTTTCCTCGGGCCTCAACCCAATTAAAACTTTCTTGTAATATTAGAATCTCTGCAATTTGCGCAGCCATTATTAAATTTTTCGTACTTTTGTTGGGACAGTCATGTCCTTCCCAAATTTCAAAAATTTTCGCCGACCTCAACCAAATTAAAGGATTCTTTTACTATTAGAATTTTTGCATTTTTGGGCACCCTTTGAAGAAATTTTAATTCAATTTTTACACCGTCTGACGTAAACTTTGATTAAGCTAGTATTAGCTATTGGTTCAGCTTAGAAAGAAGACGAGATCTAACGGGCAAATGCAAAAATCTGAGGGAAAGGTGTTATCTACTTGTAAGATATCCGAATAACGTGTTAATTTTTTTTGTGGAACCTATCAACAACAAGAATATGCACTAAATGAGGGTTATATGGGATCCTATTTGAGTTTAGGATATGTTATGGCACGTCCGCATTAGTACAATAATCTCTGATTGCGCAAAATGCAGAGATTATTTATTTTTTAACGTCTTTTTTTGCGGGAAAGTGCGCAAAATTCAGAGTTTCTAGTGGCACAAATTCAAGTTCTAATTTGATTGGGCCGGGGGGAGGAATTTTAAGGTCATATCTTTCACGAGGAAAGTGCGCGAGATTTAAAAAAATTAAATGTGTGCATTATTTTGATATTTTTTCATGTAGACATCGATAAATCGATAAATAAATTGATATTTATAATTGTATTTTATTTTTCAGTTCGTAGGTACAGAACCGGCAAGCTGCCCCGTAACTACCTGGTTGGTTACATCGCTTAACGCCAACGTTTCAGCTCACGCGACGTTATCTTCAGTGTCAAACGCATCTTGTCCCGCCGAGCCACGTATCGTTTTCCCTGTCGCACTTACTTTAGGAATCTATGTTAAGACTTTACTTAGTTGTTATGTATGTGTCATTTCGTTCTCCTCTAACGTGTTGGTTTTTCCTGACCGTAGGTCTCTGAACTCTAATTCTTATCTACTTAACGGCTCATCAATTTGAAACGAAAGTAACTGTTTTCACTGCCAAAAGTGCTACAAAACTAGGTGCAGATAGAGACATGTATTTATTTAACGTTTGGAATGTGCAAATTTGTCAATAACGAAAAAAGTTTAGAGGTGAACTGCGATATGGTTATGTTAAATAAATATATAAATGCAGAATTATTTTATTAATATAATAATTTAGTTTATATAAGCGATTGATTACATTTGTAAATATCGTTTGCTTTAAAGAGGATGTTGCTTAAAATAGTTTTCTTTACGTAAATGTTGATACTTAGTCATATTAGTCATTAAAACGGCATTCAAAAACAATTTTACTCTGCAAATTTTAAAACGTCTCGCGTCTCGCTATACACGGGCCTATCAGTGACTTGCAAGGAGTTTTTTTAAATTCTCAAGCGTTGATCGTTGAGATCTATAATTGTGATTTTGCCCGCCCTGTATATGATGTGTAACGTGAACTTTTCGTATTTTATCGTAACATGTTAGCAATATACGCGCCGTAGATGAGTAGTTGCAAGATATTCTTATGTAACATACAAAAGAAAAGAATAAAGAATAGTGGCCAGATTGTGTTTTAATAATAATAGTATAATATTTATTTAGCATTATGCTACATGAAAAATACAAAATATAAATTCTAAATACAAAATATAAAATTCCAGATAAAAGGAAACCAAAAGCTATGCATACAGAAATCAGATTTTGGACGATACATGGCGTCTTAAAAATCTTTTAAATTTATTAAGAGTATCACAATTTTCAATATCATGCGGTAAATTTTTAAAATGGTTTTGGGCCTTTATTCGAGTCATGTGTATACATGACTCGAATAACATTCTCTCAACATAAAATTAGCAGAATTTCTTGTATTGTTAACAATGAATATCTCTGAAATAGGTAATTTTTTCACAAACATAATTGAGAACACACTGCTGTTTAATTTTAAAAATAAATACATAGACATTTATGTCGTTTACCAAAAATACAAAATTTTGACTTGTCCGCGTTTATACAAAGGTCATTATTGCACAGCCATTCAAAAGCATTGTTCAAGTCAGCATTCATTTTTCTTTGCATTTTATCGACATTTTCACCCACAATAAAAATCTTAGTCATCCGCAAATAATACCGCTTTAGTATCATCTAAAATATTTACAATATCGTGTATATACATGAGAAACAACAATATTTATTTAATGGAAATGACCAAAAATGTGTCTGTGTAATTTTTTTTTATACATGATGGTATACCATGTGCTACTTAACTCAATATTTTTTAAACCACCTAGTTTTATTGTACTATACACATTTTTCTCAGCAAAAGTGTAGAATTTTAAATGAAAACAAGTTTAATCATTGGCTTCTAGCATTTAAATTCCCATTTTCAGCATAATGGAGAAATCGAAACAAAAGAACTTAAAATTGGTCAAGGGCTTACAAACTGGATAATCTGGATGACCAATAGAAATCAAGAATAGACAAAACTTAAAAGGAAAACTATTGAAAATGGCATAGTCAGTAAATGTTGCATTAAGATTGTGCATCAAATCATATTATAATATACACTGTGTTTTATTTGAGAAAATGAAGTTTTGTATCTTGGAAAATCATGTAATTGGTTGTTAAATATTGTGTGTGTGGTTAAGTTTAGGGAAACTTAAGGAACCTATCATGAAATCGTCGGCATGTCACCACAGTTTTAAGCTATTAATATTTGAAGATTTATAAACAAATATATAATTCAATTATTTCTTGTAAGTTTATTTTAGTGGAAATACATACTGAATAGGTTTTGGTTAATCTACTGCCATAGTCAAAATAACTTGAGTATTGTTTTATTATAGTCATATACCTATTAGTGTTTTTCTATTCGAAGAAAATTTGGACTTGGTGACTTTCTCATGAATATAAAATCAATTATTTCTTTAAGTTTATTTTAGTGAAAGTAGGTTTTCATAATCAAAAAAATTTGTATTGTTTTATAAGTGATGATATAACTATACCTATTACTTTCCTATTTGAAGGAAATTAAGGTCAATTTGTTCATCTAACATTTATTACCAATTTAGATAACAAATTCACGATTATAACAAATTATTGAACAATAATAATTACGAATAAGAAAAATTATGTTGCATTAAAATAATCCTAACATTATACTTCATCGTCACAGCTTTCGTCTTCTGCAGGTTCGGGGCATTTGTCTTTTATGGAATTATTACTTGGTAAGTTCACGTACCAGCCATGATACTCGTTGGGAATAGCTTCAGTTTAACTTTTTGTTTTTTGGATATTGGCAATGGTTCTGAGTAGTACTTTTTAAATCTAGTTCTTTCGGTGTACTACTGGGTCTACCCTTTACTTTTCCTCTTAAATTTAGAACTTTTTATTCTTCATCGTAATCGTCCCTGAACAATATTAAATTTTTTGTTCCTTTTTCACATCGGAGTTGTTTGATCTTCAGCCATTCTACTCTTTGGCCACTTTCGTTTCGAATCGTATTTTTTAATGATGATTTGCTGAGTTCTTTAAGATTGATAAAATCATTTTACGTCAGCTGGTGAACATTATAAGCACTTGAAATTTTATTTTTTCCCCTATTGGATCGTGCTAGTGTCATAATTGTTTTCCAGTCATTTAAGCAAAAGACAGGGATATACAGGGACACTTTGCATACTGTGTGAATGGCCATTTTCTAAAAAGTTATGTGTTATAATTCGAATGGGTAAAACTTGAACCTTAAATTAAAAAAAGGGCAGCTATGTATTCGGAGTTTCGGAGTAATGATGTCAAGAGAAATTGGTCATTTTCTCTAGTAATTTTTTTACAAATGGGGCTGAACAATTATTTCTGTTAAAACATATTACGTTTTGAACGTTTTACTGTCCGAATTTAAATTCTAGAAAATTTGGACTTGGCCACTTTCCCCTGTATACCGTATATTCTCAGAAATCCAGATATGAAATAATATACAGATTATTCAATTTAAAATAAGGAAGTTGGGTGGTATGAGATACTTATGATACACTCTGTTTAGTAGCAACTGTTTCCATTACAGACTTTTTTATTCAATTAAAAAAAAAAGGCAAGATAAAAAACAATGAAAGAATCCTCTAGTAGGTAGCTCCTCCCTTATTATATATGTTTATTGTTCTTCAAATTTTACCATTTCCTTGAATGGGCCTGTTTCACATTTTTTTGTTTAATTTTGAGAAACGAAACTAGGACACAGCCTATAGCGATTTACAATATTTCTTTTTTTTTGTGAAAAGTTAAGCCTTTAAATAAATTGGAGAGTTTGAAGAGAACGGGGCGTGGCCGCGCGGTGACGTCATTGCCTTCGATTCCCATGAAAACTATTCTTAAGTGTAACTTCTGGACCCGAAAGTGTGTTTGGCAGAATGCGATACGTCCAGTGTGTGAAGACCATTTTGATTTAAGTCTTTTATAACGAATACTGATCGATTTATTAAATTTAAGCCGATCAGGATATTCATACAGGGTGCGGCAAAAAGGTACGCAGGATTTCTAATAGTGGTTGTTCGGTTTGTAAAACCGGCAACACTGTGTACGCACTCGCGTTATGCAGACAAAAGTATGCAATTTTCAGTTATCGACATGACTTGGAGCGGAGTGCATCGTGCTTTCGTTGTCGAGGAGTTTATTAGAAATGGGGAATCTGTAATAGCGACGCAGCGCTCCTTTCGTAATCAGTTTGATGTTGGTCGGCATGGCGCGGTTCCGGATGGAAGAACAATTCGTCGGTGGGTTTTACACTTCAGGGAAACAGGTTCTACGCTTAACCGAAAATCTACTGGCCGACCAAGGACAAAGAACACCGGAAAATGTGAATGCAGTTAGAGTTTCCCTACAACAGTCTCCAAGGCGTTCAGCTCGTAAGCATGCAGCTGTTTCGGGAATTCCCGATAGAAGTGTTCGAAGAATTTTACACAACTCACTCCAAATGCATCCGTACAAAATGATGCCGGGATATTCTTCAAAACATTCCCAGAGCCGCTGTATTCATGTCTAGCGATGAAGCTCACTTTCACCTCTCGGGTACCGTAAATAAGCATAATTTCCGTTATTGGCCAGCAAATAGTCCACATGAACTTCATGAGCGACCTCTTCACAGTCCATAAGTCACCGTCTGTTGTGCAATCTCGGAGTTCGGCGTGCGGGGTCCTTACTTTTTCGAAGAAGATGGAATAACGGTAACAGTCAACAGCATAGCAATTTCTCGCGTCCAAAAGTGAACGAGTTGAACAACGATTAAAAAGAGCATCTTTGGTTAGTACACAACGCGCCGTTCACTAAATCTTCTTCAAGAAATGTTCCTAAACAAAGTGGTGTCTTTACGGACTTTGGAAGAATTCAAGGCAGCCATAAGACAAGAAATTGCCTCAATTCCCCAAGAAATGATCCATCGGGTAATGATGCGCTTCCGCGAGAACCTACAAGAGTGCATCGACAATAATGACCGTCATTTAAAAGACATCATTTTTAAAAAATAACGTTCCTAAATGACATAAAATGTACATTTCAAAATTAATTAAAACAAAAAATGTTTGCTTTATGTAGTTTGGTTTTTATTAACATCCCCAATAGTACCTATCGTTTTGCCGCACCCTGTATTTTTCATATTTATATTTTTATCTACCTATAGGCACTCTTTCTAATGCATATTATTTCATGGTGCCTTTTATTAGTTAGAAAATTTATTTCTGTATATATAAATTCATAAAATTCAAAAAATTATACGTACATAACAACAGCGAAAAAAGGATTCGTGGAAACATAGCCTCGATTTTTTGCTTGGCTCAAACTAGAAGAGCTCAGACTTTTTAGTCTTTTCTACCTTGATTTTTTATTAAATTAATTTTAATAATAATCATGTGAAACTTATACGTAAGTATAGAACACCGTGAAATTGTTAACTTCGTTTATTTAGCCTCTGCCAGCCATAATCTTAATATAAACAGTTGCTTACCTCTGCAATTTTATTCTTCGCCCTTTCCGCACTTATATTAAGTCTTTATTTTGATAATAGTCCATTGCCAAAAGAAAGACTTGAAAATTGAGAAAGTTAGAAGCCTGAAATTTCATATTAAGTTTATTTTTTTTTTCCGCAGCCTACTCTACACTACATGTGTTTACGTTGTTCATTTAAAGCAAGCCAAAGACACAATGTGCTTTGCAGTCATTAAGCCAAAACCATTTATTTGTGAAAGCTCTATACAAGAAGGGGTTGCAAGCGATTTGACTTTGTACTAGACTTGTGAATTACCTGAAATTTCTGATTGGTGAAAATTCTGCCCTCGACGGTTTAGATTTTTAGATGTGAGATGTTGAATTATTGGGTTAGATTGCGAAATTCAAGACCAATAATTTTATATGTAAACACATAAATTGCATACAGCTTTTAAATAATAATCCACAGTTTCTATTTTACACCTTTACTTAGAAAGTCATTTAAATTACAAAAAGCGGTGAATAAAATCAAGAAACAAAAGTTCACCAACCCCTATCGCAGTCAAAGGTACTACAATATTATCGTTAG